GGTTACTTTAGTGTGTCGTGGCTTGTTAAAATGATCACACCACACCCGTGGTTTTTTCTCATTCTTCTGCGAATATGGAACAGTCCACTTGCTGATATGAGCCTCCGATTGGAATGCTGAAGTCTAAGGTATGCTAGTAGGAGTGGATTTCTTGTTGAGCATCACTCATCGAGTTTCTTCGCGGAAAACTTCTGAGAAAGCCTCATGGATTGAAGGCGTGGAACTTCTCCCAATAATTCTACCCCTAACGTCATCAAACTCCTCATTAAGTCCAACAAGAAATTTTAAAATTCTATTTACATCAACAATGGTCTTATATCTACTATCATCATCAGGACACTTCCACTCTTGATCATTAAACAGGTCAAGGTCTTGCCATATTCTCTTTAAAGAATTAAAGTATTTTGTGATAGAGTCATTATCTTGACGAATAACCAAGTTTTAGGGAAAATTCATAAATCTGAGATTGGTTACCCATTTCCGAATACGTTTGGGCCACATTCTCCCAGAGTTCTTTGACAGTAGAGTAACACATGTAGTTTGCGCTTATCTCTTCTTACATAGAGTTCACCAACCATGTCATTATCATGAAATTTTCTGCATCACTGGTTGCGTGGGATGGATATGCTGTGGTTGGCTTACGGATATCCCCTGTTAGGTAACCTATCTTCTCTCTTCCTCTAATGTACATCCTTACCAATTGTGACCAATGTAGATAATTATCACCATTGAGACGGATTGTGGTGATCTGGGCTGGATGATTTTCGGTAGTTCTAGAGGAGGGTGGTGCAGAGGCAGATAGCAGGGTGGAAGGCTGAGCAGAAGTAGCGGAATCATTTGTATTTTCAGACATTATATAAAAAGATTGTTCAACCGCGTAGAAAAAAAAGCCAGGCCGAAGGTTTCGTGAATTGCGGCTGCGCAGTAGGGAGAAGCGACTGCGAGATTGTGAATTACGGAATGAGGTTAGCGAAGCAAATCGCAGCGACGGGATCCTCAGTGATGACGCGACGGGATCACGAGTTGCGAATTTGTGGGTAGCAAAGCAAATCGCAACGGCGAAACTTGCGAAACAGAAAGTTTCAATTTTTTTTCAATTTTTAACGAATTGGAAGGAAGAAGGCTAGGGTTTTCCAGAGTTTTTTTCTTCTGCTCTGATACCATAAAAAAGCTTTGGAGAGAAAATTCGTTTTTTTCTTTTTGATTCAATTCAAGGTGCCTTTACATAGAGGAGTCTCTCCTCCTCAGATGAGGAAACTAACTAAATATGTTTCAATTATTTCCTATTACATTACAATACTAATTAAGCAAGATTTGGTACAGATATCAAATAATATAAATAAAGAAGGAGAATAAAATCTGTATAAGAGGAAAGATAATAAATCATGTAATTTGAATTAGATCTTTCAATAGATAGATCTCAAATTTCTCCCTATACTTCATGACGGATATTTCCTAGACAAATGCAAGAAACTGCTCGTGTAAATCCTCTTCTCGTATGGTTTTGAAGCGCTCCAACAATCAGTTCTCCAATTCTTCTTTGTCCGGATTAGCTGACGTTATTCTCTCCATTGATACCATACTAGAGCCTTTCCTTCTAAACATAGAGACGCCGCCTTTAATTTTTCTTTCTTTGTCAGCCCACTAGCAACATGTTCTCCCCAGATTGTAAACCTAATCATAAGCATTCTCTCCTTTAAAGGTCTACAATTTTAGTTTTCTTATTCATGAGTCTGGTCCTCAATTTTTTGACTGAAGTTCAATCAATCTATAAAGCTGGAGTCGGGTTCCCTTCCTCGACCAATATTTATATATCTTCTTTTATATGTCTGGTGTGCCCAAAATCATCTCGCCCATTCCCATAAGCCCTCGAAATGCCTTTTTTCTTGGAAGGTTGCTAAAACAAAAGATACTAGTGCGGTTAGATGCAGGCCTCTGCCAGGTTTTTACCTACCATGGTTCCCTATTTCAGGTCGAAATTCGTCAAATTCATTTTCTCCTGCTTCAAATTACCTGCCGTCCCATTTTGCCTGCTACTACTCGTTCTAACCATTTAAATGTAATGTCATTCCTTCCAAGTGTTGATGCTCGAGTCTGCTTCTTATTCCTTCATCCGATCCCATAGCTCCCGACCCACCATTTGAAATAAAAAGGTTGGGCAAACGCAGATAATTTTTGGCATAAAATTTACTAAATCCGAATGAATAACATTTCTCTTCCAATAAAAATATATTATGCATTGACTAAAAGAAACAAAATTGACAACATGCAAGTTGTATGAAACTCAATTGAATCATATTAGAAATTTGAAATAGATGAAGGCATTGAAGTAGACACGGGATAATATCAAAGATTAATTAAATCATGTCAATCAACTCATGAAAAAGTCCAAAGAATCTCACCATTAGGTTGCTTACAAAAATTTTAAATATCTTAAATCAATTCCAAGAGAAAAAATATTCTATATAATAAGCATGATACTCTACAAATTGAAGGATATATGGATGCAGACTATGTTCAATCACCTGTGGATAGACTATCCACTTGATGATTTTGTACATTATTGGGAGGAAATCTCATAATTTGGAGGAGCAAGAAATTACCTGTTGTATCAAAATCTAGTGTTGAATTTGAACTTACGACAATTGTTCAAGGTATCTACGAGCTTCTAAGGATCAAGTTCATATTAGATGGCTTAAAGGTCAAGTGAGAAAGACTTATGATGTAAATTGTGATAATAAAACTTGTTACTAATAATCCTATACATCATGATCATATCAAATATGTTGAAGTGGATATACATTTTATAAAAGCGAAATTAGAAACTGATTTGATTTGAACTTCATATGTCCCAATGAGAAGAGAACTTGTTATATTTATCAAACGACTTAACATCTGCACATTTAAGAATGTTATAAGCAAACATGGAAGGGTTGCCATCCAGTTTGAGGGGGAGTGCTAAAGAGCCACTGGATCAACAAAGTCTACATAAGGAAAATTAGATGTCACGAATTCATTGCTTATAAGGAAACACCTCTCTCACTGATTTGTATATAAAGAAGGAAAGAATGAGCCCATGGATTGCTCCCTTGACATGAATCGTAGATCTCTAAATAATCAAACAGTAGATAGCTAACGGCTATTTTTATGTAATTAATTTTTTTATTTTTTTATTTTAGTTATGTATATAAATACCCATTGAAAGTATGAACAACTAAGCTTTTCTTGCACATATTCTTCTACTCTTTTGATGCTTTATTAGTTTAATTGCGGCATGTTGTGATCTTTCTCCAAAGGCTTTTCACTCAAATATTTCTTGTGCCAATGAAATCTATGGTTACTCAAACTTCAAGCTGTCTTTTTCTAAAATGACTGCTCACTACAGTAACTGTACCATTCTAACCATCTGAAAAGGAGGACAACATAGTTATTCCTTGAAATTCATCATCAAAATCAATTTTTGTAGAATTGAATTGACTGGAAATTTAGTTCAGTTCATTGATGTGGTTATCTTTAATAGAAGCATCTTCATGTATCTTCATAAATGTCACGGGAGGGGTACAGTGGTGTCCAATCACAAACTCCGAAAGCGTTAAGATTTGAAATTCTAACCTCTATAAAATTCTTTAAAAAAGGTTTTTAAAAAATCAAAATTAAAATTAAAATTTTGCTTAAATTTATTTTACATTGAAATTAAAAATATTCAAAGCCCCTTTTTGTCATGCTTGGATCAAACTAGCTTCAATTATGATTAGCACAATCCTTCTACCTAATGTAGCCTTATCATCTGCATAAATGAGGAAAAGAAAGATAAAAAATCACTGTCAATAATATAAAGAAGGATCAAATTTGTCTATCATTTGACATGAAAAAATTCAATATCTTAGATTTATATTTTTAGAGCTGATGATAATGCTCCTTTGAGTAGATGATGTTGCTATTCAATCAATATTATTGTTGATAGAAATATTCTTCCTTAAGATTGACTTTCCATTATTGACTCTTCTTCAGAATGGTGCATTTGTCACTTTTATTTGAGATAGATTTTATACAGGATGAATTTCATAAGCTTAACAATATAGTAATGAACCTCATGTTTTTACACTTCGGAATAGTGTTCATTACAATATAAGTAAATTGTTGCAGTGGGAGACATTTACATCAATCCATGTATTTTTTTTATTTCAGTTTAATCACCCTATTATTTAGCAGACATGTTTATATATCATTCTTTTTTCATTTTGTTATTTGTTAGGATTAAAATATGTATTTATCATTTTAGATATGCTTATAATTTTTTCATTATTTTTAGGATTAGAATAAAAAAAATGGCTACCATTATACACAGTAAGCCTTAGTTTGTAATTATCAATGGTTGTTTAATGAATTGCGAATTGAGCAAAACTCCTCCTTTCTTCTTGTAGCTATGCGGATTCATCATGCTTTCTCTCCTAGTTTTCCCTTCTTTGGAGGCATTCTTTTTCAAGTTTTGTCATTCTACTTTCTCTTTTTATCTAACTCCTGAATCTTCACTACTAGTAATATGAAACTCCATCACAATTTGTACATCAGTAGCTGAGCCTTAATGGTAGAGTATATTAGCAAGTTAATTACTAGGAATTAATTTCATTATTTTCTGATAGACTGCCTGAGCCGCGCATCAGATGCTGTTTTTATGCTTTGTTGTAATCACATTTGTTGACATCCTTCTCATGCCCTCCCAACATCCTTTAAGTTCCTTCCACTCTTCATTGTTCTTTCAAAAGCTGTTTCTCTAAATTTTTCTATATTCATAATTGGTGTTTCTGAAACCTGCCATGTGTTGCAGAATCATCAAAACCATGTAGTCTCCATTTTTGTTAATAGATAATAGGGTTGATTCGAAGTCTGAAACATTATAATTTGCATTAGAATTACAAAAACTAGGCCTGTTTAGTTTGCATATAAAAACAGCCATTCTACAGACTATTAATTTCTATTTGCTTTATCAACTGATGCAGCATCACCATATACTACTTTGCTAAAGAAGGAGCCAACTGTAGTTTTTCCTCAACCGAAGAAGACATCTATAAACCCAGGAATTATCTTTTTGAGAAAGGAAAGGCCAAAAATTTCTGTCAACCATCTGGGCATGGCATTGATTTAGGCTTCTTTGAGTTAGAGAGCCTTTCAAAGCCAGTAAATGGAGAAGCCTTCCCACTAGTTATTTATGCCAAAGCATGCGGGCCAACTGCTGAAGATGGCCAGTCTTCTCAATCTTCTGCGTCTCACGTGCAGATTACATTAGCTATCATTGAGAAGAATAGTAAAGGAGAGTTTGAAGCTAAAGTTATAAAGCAAATTCTATGGATTGCCGGTGAACGTTATGAGCTGCAAGAAATCTTTGGCCTGGATAATTCTTCAAGTGAACAGATAGATGATGGTGATGATGATATTGGTAAGGAGTGCGTAATCTGCTTGACAGAACCTAGGAACACTGCAGTCTTTCCCTGCAGGCATTTGGTGAGAAATCACTTATTTTTTTATATTTTGCCTATTTCTCTTAGTTTTCAGTATTATAATTGCTTATTTTTTTACTTTGCAGTGTATGTGTAGTGATTGTGCAAAATCTTTGAGGGTCAAATCCAATAAGTGTCCCATATGTCGTCAACCTGTTGAGAAACTAATGGAAATCAATGTAAATTTGAGGAGCTCTAATATGTAAAGATCGGCTTCAGTCTTCTTGAAATTTGACAGAGGTAATGAAAAACAAAAACCATGTAAATATTATAGATATTTATGGACTCCCATTATGTTGACCTTAAATTTTATGTTAGCTGTGCCTATTAATATTTTGAATAAATGCTGAACAGCACGCATAATTGTGTTTTTTCTGCAATCAAATGTATTGCAAGTCTTAAAAGAATTGCGGTTAATACTTCTTTTAATTTGTCTTATCTGAGGATAATGGAGGGAGAAGTTAACTTGGTTATATGGAAGGGTATGAAGTTGACCGAAGCGCTTTACACGCTCCAGCAATGAAGCCTACATGTCACCCAACTTGTTCAATGTGAATGTAAAGAGCATAACTACGGCCAACTCCATGTTTAGCTTTCATGAAGTTGGGTTATTTTGTTGCTTTGCTACAACCATGAAAAATTTTCAAGATAACCTAAATCATTTAGTAATGTTGCTTTAATTTGTCTTAACTGCTTCCCTGCTTGAATATTTTCTAATTTTTGGAGAGTACAAAAAATGTGGTAATTCGGTTTCATATGCCTTTTCCACAATCAAATGTATCGCAAGTCTTTCAGAAATTACACTTGATATTGCTTTGAGTTTTAGTCTTTTGATAAGGGAAAGTTAGTGAACTCGGCCATATGAGAAAGAATGATATTGATCCGAAGATTTTCACCTTTTATGGACCCCAATTTGGATCAGAACTCTATATCATCAATTTTATCCAGTTTTCAAGATAGATCTGCTAGATTAGTACACATTGTTATGACTTGAAGATTGTAATGGATTCGATCATATATTGGTCTTTAGCGCATTGTAAACTATTGAGCATTGTATTAATAAATCAACTTAGCATGCCTGATAGCATTTTAGTTGATGAGCTACCATATTGCCAGAAAACTCATGATCGCCCAATAGAAATCAAGTTGTGACAAGTTTTTCTATGAATTAATAGCCATAAATACTTTTTAATTTATAAAAGCGAAAAATCACTATTTCAAGTGAAAAGTTACCATAATCATGGGTCTTATGATTGGGAGAAAAAACTTAATCCCCACAAGGTTGCTGGTCTCTATTCGGACCTATGCAAGTCCTTTGGCTTGTTTAGAGAATACTATATGTAACCTAATGATTTTCTTGTAAGCATATACATTGTAATTAAATAAGAGGAATCAATGCAAAGATAAATCTATAACCACCTTGTAAATCTTGAAATATCTTTTAATGGATTCAATCATAAATTCGTTGGGCTTGCTCTGCAATTAAGCGCCAAGCACTTACAGCAAAAAAGTAGCTACATGGTCCTTCCCTCTTTTGGCTTAAATTTAGATCATCAGAGGATGCCATGCTCTACTTTGTTGTCCAGAATATCATGATTGAGCATTGGAATTGAAGTCTTAATGTGTATTTCTTTCTTGCAACAGCTCTACATTTTGTTGGGAACATCAAGCAAACATTAATAATTTTAAGAAAGCTATGAGGCCACTACCTTTATTTGAGAATTCCTTTAGCTTGCTACAGTCTACATGTAGCTAAATGAATCCTTCACAAGTATTAAAAGTAGAAATTAAATGTTAGGACACAATGCTAGTATGCTTTTATAACCATCTTTTCTCAACATTTTCTCCTTTTTTTTATTTCTCTTAATTATTTATTATCTCCTCTTCCAATCTTAACATCTTCTATGAAACTATAATTTTTTTGGTTCTTGCACTGAAATGGTAGAATGATGAGTGCTCGAAATTTAAAAACCAAGCTCTAAATGGATAGGCTGATGCAATTCTATTGAGCCATAACAAGAGGAAAGGCGAATGAGATTTTTCTTATACAAGAAGTGGGGCAAGGAAGCAACAGATATAAGAGAAAAAGGATAAAATGTTAGAGAAAACAAAAAGTTATGATTTTCTTCAATTAAGATTATTTTCTAATTTTTTTGTCATTGTACTATGAATTTTCTTGAACCATACCACAATTCTTTTCATTTTTATTGTAATTTTCACAAATAATTTGAATCAAAGCTAGCCTTCAAGATCATGCTATAATATTTTGCCAAACTATGGGCCTTTTTATTAAAAAAATAAACAAAAAGCCTTTCTTCTAAATTTAATACTTGATAGTGACATGTATGATACAAAAGTGTTTAAAATTTTTCATAATAAATTGAACTGAGTACTAAATAAATAAATACACAATCAGAAGTATTTAGATGAGCAAATAAATTTACATAAAATGAAAAATATATATTTTTTATTAGGGCCTAATTGGCATATGCCATTGCTTAATCCATACTTGGGTTAAAATTCTATTTCTCACTTGCTATCACAATCATACACTTCTTTGCTCCTTAACCTAACAATGAAACAATCAAACCTAATTCTTTTACTCCATGGGCTGATGTTGTCCATTATAAAGATTATGAATATATGAAAAACACTAAGTCATCCAATACACAAGAAAATCCACGGTGATATTCTTTTACAATGCTTTGCATCTTGATTAAATGGATATGTCTCTATGATGTCTTATACTAATGATCTTGGCATGATTGCACATTTTCTTGCTTTACTCTAAAATTTTTGCTTTGAAGTTTGGAGATTGAAAAATCAGGCCTCGAATATGAAAACGAAAAATATTAGTTGGAGAAAGTTTGTAAGCTCTTAGTGGTTAAAAACAGGTTTGACTTGCTGAAAAGTAAGACAAAAAATTAATTAGGTAATGATATAAATTATATTCAATCCACTATAGAATTTCACACCGACTTATGCTAATTCTAAATACAATTTATTGAGAGTATCCACCGCCCCAAACTGGATTTTTGTCTAAAAGCTGCATGAGCTTGATTTGACCAAAATCATCATGACTAAAAGTAAACTTACATCGGTTAACAGTTGTTTGATCAGCAATAGAAGGAGTGCATTGTAATCCTTTTGCAGGGCTTAAAAATTCAAAATTTTGGTCGAATGAAAAATAAATTTAATATAAAATTTAAATTTATTTTTAATTCATGTGTTATTTTTTGATGTATTTGAAATTCACTAGATTTTGGATAATTCTAAATATATTGATTTGTAAAAGTGACAGATACCGTCTGTCATCTTCACTAGCCATCGTCGTTACCATCCTAGATTATCTAACGTTATCGACAGCCGTTTGCCATGCATCAATTGTCGTCAGTACCACCAACCATTCTCTGAGCACTGCTATCATTACACCCAACCATAAATCACATCCACTTCACATTCTCTTATCTTTCACCGACATCGACTGCTAATTATCTATATTGCTTTCCATCAGCAATTGTTGGTGACTCACACAGTCTGCCTCTTGCTAGCTACCATTGTTGCTTGCCGCCACTTTCTGTTAGCCACATTAGCCATCATCGATCTTAAACTATTTATTTTATATTGCATCCATTTTTCTTCAAAACAAACAAGAAAGTAAAGTTCAACATTTATTTATATAAAACCAAATAGTTAGAATGTATCTAAATACAATACATTTCTTTAGCACTACATTTTTTTTTCAACAAACCAAAAAGACCGTCTTAAATGGGTAATTTGATGCTGCAATGCTGTGAAACACATGTCAGCAACAAAAATATATATGTCAATCAAGTAGTGTACAGATGTTTGAGTCCATGTATCAATCCAATAGAGAACTTGGTAATTTTCAAAAAAGGTGAAAGTTATAGTTTACTATTCCTTGGTCTATTTCGAAGTGTCAAAGTTTTATGAATTTAAATTGTCTAATCCTAATTTTGCTTAAATAAAAATCCTAAGTGATGAGAGTAGAGCTTTCTATCAAGCGAGAGAATCTTCATTGAAATGGACCAACATAACCTAGAGTTACCCAAGTGATTCAATTTTTTGTTGACGATTAGGGGCAATTCCACTCACCTCTTCCAAGGTCATAAGAAGGCTGGGGTTTCATATTGCAATTTAGTTTTCTACATCATGCAAAAGTGCCAATGATTCAATGTTTTCATATTGATTGCACTAACCTAGCAATGATATTCATATTCTCCTAGAAAAGTATATGTTTGATTATTACACCAGCCTTCTTCTATTGTCTTAGATGTGAATAAGTTTTAACATTTCAAGTGAGTCAATTTGGAAGTAAATAAAGCATGCAATTAACACATCAACATATTCCATAAAATTTTATTAGTCACATGAAAATTACCAATTGAAGGAAGAGAACAATTTAGTTCTAAAGCATGAGAGAAAAAAAATTAGAAATTTCATTGATTTCAAAAAAATCAAGTTTAAACAAAAGTAAGAACAATCAAATCTAATAAATTCTTGCTTCGCTCCACATAAATTCTCTTTTATAATGTATCTTCACTTGAAAACACTCACACTCCAATAATGGTGAAATCCTCTCACTAATTTATCCCTAACACTTACATTCTCCCATCCCCTCCTCCCTCCTCTTCAAGTTCTACTAAACACACTCTCACAGCATCTAGGTTGTGCTAATAATATCAGGGGACACTTACTTGTTTGAATCCAAAGCTTTTGAAATCAATCAAAATGTTATAGGGACACAAAACTAAAAGAGCTTCCCAAGGTTTTTATTGGGTCCCTAGGCATGAGGTTGGAGCACTAATTTTTTGAGCTTATGGTTTAGTGTGACATTATGAATAGTTTCAGGTGCCTAGGTGCCAATTTTGGTACCGCCATTTCAGTTTTAGGCATTTTGGTACCTGATTAAGGCATTGAGTTTCTCTCTTCTTAGTTCTTCACTTGTCGTTTGTTTGGAGCTTTGCCAAACCTAGACTGAGCACCTGGTTTCCATCTTCTTAGTTTCTCTTATCGAAGGAAACATTGTTTTGGCACCAGCGCTTCATCTGGTAATCAGGGCACCTGAAAGTGGCTTGGGAAATATTTTTTTCAAATACTTCTCCTCACTAACCTGCAAGCTGTAACTCACAATAACATGACAAATATCTTGGAAAAGCATAAAAATGATACAAGAAAAGAGAAAATACATGAAATATTACCACACATTTCATGCACATCAAAAGCGACATAATATAATATTCTTGATTATTTAATTATAATTATCATCCATAGATCACATGTGTTGCTCTTAACATATATATAATCCTCTAGAAGAATTAAATTTGAAGAAAAGTAAATTCTATTACTTCCTACTCGTTTTTAAGGGCCTATTGATACATTACAAAATTATTTTAATGGTTATCGTAAGACAATTATTATATAAAGGTATAAAGCTAGGATATGATGTAATTACACAATCCATAAAAGAAATTTATGATGAAAATAACAAAGTTACAAGGCTTAATAAAAATCTTGAATTTTGGTATTGAGCTTTCTTTCATGTATTTACAATTTGTTATGGTATTTTAATCATTAAAATTGATTCTTACATTAAATAAATCTAGTAATCACTTGGCTGAAACATTAATATCATTAATTAGACATAAGACACCATTAAAATGAGCTCATGCACACTTTGATAGGCTCATGGATTAATGGTCTCTAACTTTTTCATCATGTGATTCTATGTTGGCTCATGCACAAATTATAATACAAAATTTTACATCTTCTTCAACAAAATTATAATCTGACAAAGAAATCTTTATTGAGAGATAAGCACTAATTCTCCCTCAATTATATATCTACACCCC